GACATACAGATTTGTTTTTCTTACATGTACAGTCTGTTAGCTATGTAGCCAGTGTAGTGGCTTTGGAGGTCGGGGTAGGTGTCCCTTATTCTCCACACACAACAGCTAGGGATCACCACCCTGTTCCCCTCTCCCAGCCTTCCATACCGCCACAAGACATAATGCCTGTAGGCAGCGTGCCGGAACTCCCTGTGGTCGGCCCCAGGCTCTTGCAGGGCCAACATGTCGTTCCGGTAGTACCTGGCAAACCAGAGGGTACCTGGGTCCAGGATGTACAGGTCCATGTCCTGAAAAAGATAAGATAAAAAGATATCAATATAACTGTCTCACGGCAAGTGGATGGTCATTTTCACTTGCCCGAACCAATATTTTACTTGCCCGAAATAATGACATATCTCTATGCAATATCATTTACTTGCAGCAGGGAAAAGAAGGTTTCTAGGCATTTAAAATCATTTAACCATGTTTTAACTACAAGATCAAGGTCTTGGGAACCTTCTACCTTTTTATAATTGGAAATTCAATTTGTGTGGATGTGTGAATGTCATCACTGATCATGCACTTAAGCTGGTAAATGTGTAATAACAAATAAACCAACTGAGCAGAGCATCTCAGACAGAACTGAAGTCTCAAGAACACAAGTTCAACTTCTTTATTAATTGCTTAAATAGTGATACAAGTGTACAGTTGTCAGAAAGTCTTAGTTACTCTGAGTCTGACAACACAGTCAAGTACGAATCTTTAAGTTTAAGGCAGTATCTGGCATTCTGCACTCACTCACTGACTATCTGCCTTCAAACATACACAACACAGGAATCTTTAGGTGGTTAAGGCGGTATCTACCTTAATTCAAACTTAACTCAGTAATCAATAACAAATACACTCAAATCACTGAAACATCATGTACAAAACATACTGGTCCAGTGCCAAGTCTAAGTTACTGTACTCTCAGTCACTCTAAGACATTTCCCTGATCATGGTCTAGATCTGACTGAAGCCGTAAGAATCTGAAAGCTAAACATGAACTTCAGAAGACTGGGGGTGCCTGGGAACTCAGGGGTTCTGCTGCTGCAGTTGGCGCCCATTTGGGGCTGCCTGCCACCATGCTTGAACAGCAAGTGCTGCATGGTAGGCCTGGATTGAAGGTCCTTCCAAACTGATGTACAGCAGCTGAGACAGCATGGGTACCTCCAGCTTGGACCTCCAGTCCGTCTTCACACGCTTCATGCAGCTGAACCCTAATCTCCAAGCAGATCATACGGTGGCAAGGCAGTATCCATTGGCCAGAGGAGTGTCCATTAGC